AATTCTTCTTTTTTATTTCTTTCAGGGATTTCAAATCATTTTATATAATATCAGACAATGGAAGTCCGAACTAATGAAATTCATCATGAAACATTGTCAATCACCTTCAAACAAATACCTAATCACTTATTTGAGTCAGTTGGTTTTGATAAATAAGTTTAATAAGTAGATCGATAATGGCAAGCTACTCATTTCTTGAAAGTGAAGTCATTCATTTGAAATAAATTACTTTTTGAACTTCTCAATATTAGAGTCAATAAGTTGTGTACGCACCAAGATATTAGAAGTCATTGATCTTCTTTTCAAATTTTACTTATTATCAAAGGGTTATATATTATATATCCTAAATGCATTCTACATTTTGGAGCGGTATAAAACGCTCACTTGGGGTCAGCGATTTTTGACCCAGTGTGCATCTATTGTGGTGGCATTTTTTAAAGAGCGCAATTTTACTACCACCTAACAACGTTGGTCGTGGTCGACTGTATTCCGATCGATGAATTTATTACTGTCTAGCCATTTCAACGTCATTTAAGGGCTTAGCTTAGATATTAGGATGTATACCTAATGTAGTTTTTTCAATATGTACAGAGTGGAACAAATTGAACACTTTTAAAGGGAAACTTCTGCTTTCAAACCAGATAGATGAAAACTAATGGATGTATCTGAGGGTCAAATTTTATTGACAAACTTAATGGTGAAAATCATATATCGATAACTATCATTTCATATAATCTTCATACTTCATTGCGAAAATTGAACAAAAACCATTAATTGAAGAGCGTCTTTACTGCTCAAATCAAAATTTGACAGCTACCTAGTGGAAGCTGTCAAGATTTGCATTCTGTTTTATCGCCGCATCGTCAAAAGCCTACCTACTTGATCAAAGTGTGCGTTTCAAAGTATGCGTTTCAAAGTAAGACATCAAGTGTGCTACATTTTTGGAAAGGTAATTTTAAATATGCAGGAATATATAGGGTGTCTCATTAAAAAATAGTTTTCCATCAATAACTATTGATAGATATCTCATTTGAAAAAATAAGTTATTTACACCATTGAAAACAGAAGTTTCCACTTTGGCCCACATTGTACACGGTGCATATCAGTCGTATGACTTAAAAAAATTATACTCGAAATGAAGTTATAGTCCATTGAAACATATTTTTCTACCGATGAAACATTTTGAAATATAACGGTTTAACCAGAAATTAATATAAGTCGAAAATTATTGATCTCTGCAGATTTTTGAAACATGAGTTGATAGGGTATAAAATCCTCTTTTTTTCAACGATTTAATACATGTTACCATTCACTTCGAAAATGGCGGCACTATAACGTCATCTGTAAAATNTTTTCTTTCGTGTAATTCAATGTTTATATGAAAGTAGCTGTTTCAGGAGGACTTTCTTTCAGTTTGTGTCTGAAAGTTACTTCTTTGCATGATCTACACATCCATGTATAGAGTTACTTATTTTGAAAATGATTACATCCTTCCTTTCTTTGGAAGACTCCAACAATTTTTTGTAACAAGATAGAGTACTACAAAGCCAAAAACTTTCCTTCCCAAGAATTAGTCACTCCTAAAAATATAACCATTTCAGTTTGAATGAAAAATAGTTTTCAAAATGATAGAATCATCAAACAATTTTTTAAGTAGATTTCACTTACTTCTTTTGCCTTCTGGAACAGTGTTTTCATAATATCCGTCGGAAACAAGAGAAAAACCAATTGGACTTGCTACTTTCCGAAATGAAACACTACACCCACAAAACTGCAACTTTCAACTGAATCATTTAAGGGTTGAGATAAAATAATCACCAGTCAGGTAGTTATAAGATCCCGGTATTAGCATAATAAATTAGCTTGGTTTATGAGGATAATGATGGTTTTCCCGAATTTGCCACTACAAGACAACACAGTTTGTCATTTACTGAACTTGATTATACATATTTGTTTCGATCCCTTGGATGAATTTCCGTCAAAGAAGGGCGTTATCATGATTATTGTTGGACCAATAGAAATCAGAGTGTTCCAATGTTTCATACCTGCTCAATTATTCAGTGCCAAAATATTCCATGCTTAAATCGAATAACAACCATCAGTAGCGCTACCGAGCAATTGACAGGTTATAATTCAAGGGTCCCCACACTGTCTAAATTGCATATATTTGTACCACTCTGAAAATAAATAGTTATATAAATAAAGAACTATCTGAAGAGATGAGAGTTTTTACATAGCAACTAAAGTTAGTACCTGCTTTCAGAGGATGACAGTCTCGTTACGTAATCAAAAATAGAGGTTAACTTCGGAATGAGAAATAATGAACTGTAAACTCGTATACATCTTCATTTTGGTGATCTAAAAGTTGTTTCAAAAGTCTCATATAATCTGTGCCGGAAGTTATTCAAGGTCAAAGGTCACAAAAATCAGTTTTTCGTGATTATCCCGGTTTCGATAGCTCAAATGATGTTAACGTTCATGATAAAAATTGTAGAGCATAAAATTGGCAACAAATTTTGTTTGAATTATTTTTTCATACTCCCGACCGTTTTTGAGATAGAGGGAAGGACAACCCTCAACGCTCAGCCATACTCTCTGTAATGGAAGATCGACCGTGAATCTCAGTGGACAAAGTACTTGTACAAAGTTATTGAACTAATGAAATATTATTAAATAAATGGTATGTGACCTATGTCATCGATGGTGGATTTCTTTTGCATGCCGTCGTACCTATAGAGTAAAGGCGAAGCTATAGAAGAATCCAAACATGGGTGTTCCCACGTCATCATTGGAGAAGACATAATTTTGCTCTTAATATTAATTAATTGGACGCACTCAAATACTTAAAGAAGAAATTGTCTTCAAAAAAGTTGGAAGGGGCAATTTCAAAGCACAAATCCATTAGTCACGAAGTTTTGACAAAGTACTCTTTCCCAAAAAGCATACAGTGCTCTTCTTTAATGTCCCTCCCCCCTTTTATTTTTTGAAAGGGTCAACACAAAAAATTGAAATTTGAGATAATGAAATGAATGCATAAATACTTTTTTTTGAAGTGAAAATGATAGATGAAACTTTTGAAGCTCTTCATAAATGCTCCACAACCCTAGAATAAAACGTCATTATCTTCAACTACTACAAAATGGCGGAACTTCTAATAATTGCCTGATTACATTGACATTTAACTACATAATATGAGGTAATAAGCTTGAGGTCACTTCAGAAGATGTTCAAAATGGTTGCCTTGAACTTTTTAACATATGAACAGCCTATCCGATATTTCACGCCTAACATTTTCTGGCGAGTGGGCTGGCCATTCTGTAGGACCTCGACGGCCAATCCAATGACCGGAAAAAGTAGTATCCAAATAGTTTCTTAAAGTAATGTGGTGGTGCTCCATCTTGCTGGAATACAATATCCATATCGAATTCATTAGGATTCGCTTCGACGATTTCAGTAATGAGAGGGTCAACAGTAGTCTCCAACATATTCAAATACAGTTCCCCTGTTGAATTTTGATCTTTAAATAGAGGTCCTACAATATGGTTTCTCAATATTCCTGCCCAATCGTTATTTTTTTCTGGGTATTGGGTATGTCCTTCCCGGAAAACGTAATGGTGTCACTCCAATAACGGCAATTTAGTCTGTGAACATTTCTGTTGAAAAAATTATACATTTGTCAATAAAACAAATATTGTGGAGATAGGTAGGATGCCTTGCAATGGTTTCCGTCATGATTTCGCAGAATTCTGTTCTTCGATCAGGGTCATCTTCAGTTAATTAGTGTACCATTTTAATTTTGTATGGATAATACCTATTCCTTTTCAAAAGTCTCCACACAGTAAAAGGAGACACGTCACAAATATTCGCGATGGTAGACTGAACAGTAGACTGTTCAGGATTTACTACCATTTCACCAATTCTTTGCACTTGTTGTTCTTTTTGATGGCGCCATCTTGAAAGTTTCATCTGTCAATTTCACTTCAAAATAAAGTATTCATGCATTAATTTCATTATCCCAAATTTCAATCTTTTGGGTTGACCCGTTCAAAAAATAAAAGGGGAACATTGAAGAAATGCAGTGTATATTATTTTTACATGCATTCAGTGGCTGTGTAGAAAAGGAAATGAACTTTCATCAACTCTCTAGAAAAATTTTTCAATTTCGGCAGACTGACTCAAGTTTTCCTGCAAGAAGGCTGCCCTATACAGCAATTATAAGAAAATGAATCATGCATCTTAATAGCGATTTAATGCTCCTAAATCTGAGGACAAGAATGATCACCTGGGATTTAGAACCCCAAGAATGGGGTTGGGTGCTGCAAAATCAACTCCTGGAGTCAACATCAATATTACCACTAATTCTTGGGGAATTACTTAATACACTATATTGTAATTATGAGAATGTATGTGGTCACTGCATTGGACAAGCTCGCCTCAATGTTGTTTCATTTCAAAGCGACTCTGGGAAAGATGATACGATAAAGAAGAGAAAAATTAATACTTTTTTAAGTAGATTTCACTTACT